AATTCTTCAACGTTGTTTTTATTGAATGATGTTGCGCGGCTTAGAGATGTAGCTTCAGGGGTTCTTAGAGATAGTCTTGGATTCCTTTTCATAAAATTTTTAAACCAATCTGGTCCAGCTGATTCATTTTCACACCATGAAGGAGGTATGTTTTTCGCTTTAATCATAATAGCACACTGGTATGCTAACTTTCTGACTTCCAAAGGAAGCAATCCAAAGTAAATGTTAGAGCAAGTAAGCAAGTACTCAGATATTTTAGCTTCTTCTTCTTCTTGAAAAACCAATCTGGGTTTGACATAGCCGACTGATAAAGATTTGTTACTCTTCTTCTTTTTCGCATATCTATATAACGATACATGACATAAATTAAAAGTTTTTGCTGCTTTTCGTACACTGATTTTATTTTCTATGACTTCAGCAGAGGCCAATTCGTAAACATCTTGACTTTGGGTAGCACGTGTAGATTTTCTTTTGTAGTGTCTCATTCTGAAATAAAATTAACGAAGTTAAACGAAAAACTATTCAAAATACTAAAAGAATAAATTTAAGTACGTCCGCGAAATTTCATAACTAATAAATACATAAGGGGTAAGTTGTAACATGTTACAACTAGCCCCGTAAAACTGTTACAACATACCCCATAGGAAAGTTTTTTAAAATAACATCTCTTTAAAAAAAACCGCTCAATTGTTATAAAATTAAAATTAATTATAATGAAACTAAACAAATTCAAAATGTATTTTTATTAAACAAAAACTGCTAAACAATATGAATTTTATGCTAGTCAATTTCGTATAAACAAAAAAAAGTCCGTTACCTGGCTTTTTCGGAGCGCCTGCACAACACCGGTTCCTGCGCCGGCCGGCGGGATACTGACCACGCTTAGATGATACATTGCGTATTAAGTAGTACATTGGGTTGAAAATCAAATGAATATTCTTCTATTATGTAGGTAAAAAATGCTTGTTACTACTTGCCCCTGTTACAACTAGCCCCCCGCTCCCCTATATCTGAACACAAGATAGCGGGCAAGACTTCTAATTCTTCTTCTTCTAATTCTTCGCCATTTTGGATTTAGAAATATGTGCTACATTCGGAATGAGCAGCCCCAAATACCATGAAAACGATACCCAACTTGCTATTATCCGAAAAATCGTGCCCGCCATCTTGGATTTAGAAATTAGTGCCATATTCTTAATGAGCACCCCCAAATACCTCGAAAACGACACCCAACTTGCTATTATTTGAAAAGTCATGTCCGCCATTAAGAATTTAGAAAAAAGTGCTATATTCCTAATGAGCACCCCCAAATACCTCGAAAACGATCCCCAACTTGCCATTATATGAAAAATCGTGCCCACCATCTAAGGTTTAGAAATGAGTGCCATATTCGTAATGAGCACCCCCAAATACCTCGAAAATGATACCCATATTGCATTTATTTCAAAAGTCGTGTCCGCCATCTAGGATTTAGAAATAAATGCCATATTCGTGATGAGCACCTCGAATACCTCGAAAACTATTCCCATTTTGCATTTATTGGAGAAGACGTGTCCGCCATCTTGGATTTAGAAATGAGAAAAGTCGTGTCCGCCTTCGTGTATTCAGATATAAATGCCATTTCCATAAGGATACCAAAAATAAATTTTTGAAAATTCCTGTCACTTGACGTTGTCGATCAACAGTAACGATCGACAAAATCGAGCATATCTGTAGGCACCTGATCGACATTGTCGATCGACAAAATCGAGCAAATCTGTAGGCACCTTTAACTTAATGATGAGTTAAGCAAGATACAATTTCCCCACTTTTGAGGGAAATGTTATTCCATGGCATCATTATTTCAATATTTGTGTGCGTGCCGACGAGCGTAAATACAATTTGCTTACGCCTACATGAATTTGATTTTTGCCTCACTTGTGACAGTTCGTTTGATATGAAACTATCATTCTATGCGTTATAGTATCTAAAGTTAAAATTTTTTTTCATGCTTTAGCATGTACTCGTAGTAGTTGTAAATACTGTAACTAGTTCTTGACATTTTCTACTCGAGTCAAATAAACTAAACTAAAAAATATTACCACATTCGGAATAAGTCCATTCGCATAAATTAGACCCTTGATGCTATGTATAATAGATCTACATAATATTTATATGTTCTATTATAGGTTCTTTACGAATTGCAGTAATGAACGTCAACTCCTTGACTTCAATTAGATATATTAACAAAACTAAGTACCTAATGATTATATATTTATGAAGAATCAAGTTTCAAAAATAGCACATTAATTGTCATCAAAATTTTCATTGAAATCATTGTTTGATATGAAAAGTTGTGTTCCATCAACACGGACATGTTTTTTTTTATCATATCAACTAATGAGACGAACCTGTCGCGGGCTTGGTGGTAAGCACGAGTGAATAGGTACTATTTAAATGTGTGCATGCTACATGTTCGACCTCATCGTCGCTTTCCATCAAGTGAGATGGAGGTCAAATGCGTAATAATTACTTATAAAAAAAGAGCCACGCCTGTTCATAGTAGTTGCCACTCAGAGACTAAAATGCAAAGATCTGACGGATGTGCCACTACGCTCGTCACCTCTTACTCTTGCACTTTAGTGCGCGTGTACACGCTAAGAAATTCGACGTGTCTGCTACAGAAAAGAATAGTCTTGTACAAGTCAAGAACTTTGTCTCATCTAGCCACGAAAACATGTCGCGACTGTTGCAGACGAGAAAATGATGAGTATGTACACGATACGAATTCTTTCGGACAGACGTGTGTGGGGAAAATGTGTCAGTGCATTACGAGTCTTCCACGTAACTGTCGTTTGACTACCTACTGTGGGAAGAAATATGTTGATGTTATGTTGACTACTAAGCAACACCATAAACGTTCGTTTACTGACAATGCACCTCACCTACCCCATACAATTACGGCCGGGGGCTTTCGTGTCGGGGGGTAGACAAGATTTTTTCTTGTCCGGCGCTTGGCAGTGTACACAATTCGTGTGTAGAATTGACATGAATTCTTGCATAGACCCGGCGACTTTTCTTAGCGTGGACACACTAACTTCAAAATCGGAACGCAGTAATGTTCACATTTACTACTTGGCGGCAGAAATAGGTACGGTGGCAGTATTTCCCCGGACGAACTCTTTCACATGGAGCTCTACTGCTACTAAGTGTTTTTTTGTTTACGTCTACGACCTTTCCTATTGAATGTCAACAGACTCAATCCTCGTACATCGTCTCCGACACTTCGATTTCTTTATACAATTTCCCCATCTTTGTAATTGTTATAAACCGAGTGACCACTTAATTCTAATAAGTATGTGTTACATATCTTTATTTACCTTAAATTACCTCTGAGTTTCTCAGAATTTATGTGCGAAATTTAATTTGACCTTTTTCAACATGCAGGTTTCATCGCGATGTTTCCTTCACCGAAAAGCTCATGATAAACTTCAAATTAAGTTTCGCACATAAATTCCAAGAAACTCCGAAGTGCGAGCCCGGATTCGAAACCACGACCTCTGCGTGTGAGGCACACACGCAGAGGGTCAAACCATCAAACCATTAGGCTACCACGGCTTCAACACGGCAATATCGTTAGAAATAATATTTTTATTGCAGACTTGCATAGAAATGCACATCTCAAACTATTAGTGCATCTTTTTTTTGCACCTGTAAATATTCAGCTCAAGTTAGTAGGTGCTTATCGCACCTTGTGTATAAAATAAAGAAAGAAATGTAATTTAACAAAAATATTTGTAATTGTAACAGTGCATAAGTAAAATTATGAATTACTATATAATTATTTTTGGTACCTACGAAAAACGTTTTTTATTGTTACAATTCGCATAGCACAATTAGAGGTCAAAGTATCAGAACATGATCATGGAAGCATAAGCACAGTGTTACATAATTCGGAGGCTTCAGCCACAGAAGGACCAATAAAAAAGCTCGCTTAGGAAAATCAATGAATTCGCGCAGTCTCACCGGTGCGTCGCCCAGCTGACTATTGATTCCGTAAAAACAACGACAACAGAAATTAACTTACCAGTAAAATGCGATTTTATCGCCGTGGCCATTCCTCACGTTTCTATCCAGGGCGTTGAAGCAAACGTTGGTTACGGCCCCCTCTAGCCATTTAACGAATACATTCCCCTTGTTTGTATCAAAATTGTAAGATACAAAATTGCCCGACTGGTAAGGGGTTTGCCAGTGGAATTCGTTCGCTATTTCAGACCAGAACGATTCTGGATCCTCTAGAGATTTTTTATGCATCTCTCTATACTTGTCAAGAGAACAAATGTAAGACTTTTCGACGACATGGTCCGAAGGTTGATAGAGGCGCGACATCGCGACAGTCGGTGGTAGTATGTCGCACGGAGGAAATACTCGACTAATCGCGACGATGAGCTCGCGGGTACTGAAGTCTGAATTGACTAGCCGCCATAATTCGAATCTCGTCTGACGTTCGCGTCAGTAGCGGAACGGCGTATGACGCACGCGTGCAGCGCGCGTGCGCTGAAGTTGCGAGAAAAAGACCGCGTACTTTGACATGATTCACAAACCGAAAGCGTGATAGTATACTAATAGTCGTATTCTAGAACTCTATCCAATGCTCAAGTCAGGATTGCACTGGCAACACAAGCATTAGAAATACGACTCTATTGGCAAGGACTTGAGTATGATTTCGAGTGCTTTAAACCACACTAATATCCTGACTTGAGCATTGAGGTAGAGTTCTAGAATACGACCCTAAGAATCGTATGATATAAGAAAACACTAAATATGTTTTAAGAGTAGCTATTATAGGAATTTGTCAGTTTCTTTGATTACGATTATATGTAGATAGGAGGTTGACCTCACATTGACCTTTGTTCACTGGTACTGTAAGCTATTGCAGTAATAAAAATAAAGTTACTTATTTCTTTCCGTTTACTTTCGCCAGAGAACAAATAAGACTAATGAGAATGGACACTCTCCGCCCCTCGCTAGCTTTAGATACCGCACCACGCCCCGCACATTGACGGTCACATTGACTGAACGAGCACAAGGCTGTCGGCGACCCGATTTCGCTTTAAGACGGCTTTGATATTTGAATATAGTTTTCATTTTTTCATTACGGTATTTGTACGTTAATATATAAACATCATTTTACGTTACTATTTATAATAATCGTGAATCGATCTGTCTACGGCTGTTTATAGTAATCTAAACGGGATAAAAAGAGGGTTTCTTTCGTTTTTTGAAAGATCATAATAATAATAATAATAATAATAATAAAACTTTTATTCATATTAAGTACAGCAGCACTTGTTTTCTTAAAAACAAAACAAAAATACAAATTGGTTGTACTACAAGCAAACAATAATTAAACCATCATAAAACTATTGTAGGTTCTAGACCTGTGTTAACAGTGTTATGAAGATTCTCCGCTATAATCATGAAACATAACCAATCATTGGATTGCAATTAACTAGATGTAGTGTGGTGCCGTAAACGTGTGGTTAAGGCTCATAGTGTGGGCGTGTGTGTGTGTGTGCGTGTGTGTGTGTGTGTGTGTGTGTGAGCTTGTGGGTGAGTATATGTGTGAGAGTGATTGTATGTGTGGTGTTGAGTGCAATAAAAGGATAGTCAAGATAGGATAATATAAATTAAAATAAGTAATTTATGAGATTTTGACCAAAAGCTCTTCTGTCGTCTCGTAAGATAACGTCCGCAACCAATTTTTAAGTTTATTTCCGACTTCATACTTGTTTAATATATATATGTTTAAGGACTTGTTAATTCTATTGTAAAGTCTCGCACTTAGTGCAGGTAATTGTCCGCCAGCAAAAGCAGTATGGCGTCGTTTGATATCGCAAACAGGAAAACCTCGACGCCTGCTAAGAGTGATTGGGTCGAGTGGTAGATTTGAGTGCCGATGCAAGACACATTTCAATATAAATAATTGCCTCACCGTGAGAACCTGTGCATTGGAGTATAACATTGCAGTGGAGTAGTCTCTTGGCTTAAATAAAATAGTCTTTAGCACCGCTCTTTGTGCCCGTTCAAGGGACAGTAGGTGCGACTTACCTGCACCACCCCAAATGGGTATACAATACGATATTATAGACTCGCACAAGGAACGGTACACTATAAGAAGCGTATCAGAGTTAACACAGTGTCGCAGATTTTTGAAAACATATATCAACTTTCTTACCCTTCCACAAATTTTGTCAATGTGGTGACTCCAATTTAATCTTTCGTCCACTTGAACTCCTAGGTATCTTACAGAATTAGATCTTGTAAGGGTAAGGCAATTACAGTTGCTAATACTATTGCAAATGTGTGCTTTTATAGATTTTGAGCATGCTGGAGGATCAGACCGAGATAAATTAAAACGTATGTAGGTGGTCTTGTTGATGTTGAGTGTTAATAAATTAGCAGATAGCCATTCCATGGCTACTCTCAGAGAAGATTCCGCTCTCATTTTTGCCTTTTCCCAGTCCACATCATATACCAGAAGCGCAGTATCGTCTGCGTATGTAAAAATATAATATACTGAAGGAATTAATTTTTACACACTGTGTACGTCCTGATAAATAATCAATAAAAATGTTTAGGGCGTTCCCACGGACTCCAATCTGTTCCAGTTTTTTAATAAGGATTGGGACAGAGACAGTGTCAAATGCTTTACACAGATCCAGGAATATTCCATAGCACTTCTGTTTATTATCCATTTTGTCTACTAATGAACCAGTTAAGTCAGCAATTGCGTTTTCTGTAGAAATGCCATTTCGAAATCCATACTGGTTTTTGGAAATTATGACATATTTCTCGAGAAAATCTTTAAGGCAATTATTTAAGATTCGCTCAAGTATTTTTGACAGGGAGGTTAATATAGATATGGGTCTATAATTTGAGACACTGTCTCTGTCCCCACTCTTAAAGATCGGATGCACAACAGCTTTTTTAAGTGCTGCCGGAAAAACGCCAGAATTGATCGAAAGATTGCATATGTGTGCAATTGGTGAGACCAAGACCGCAGATGAGTTCTTTAGGACTCTTGCCGGTATATTGTCCCAGCCGTTTGCACAGTCAGTACGGAGGGACTTAATGAGTAGTTCTACTTGGTCATCGTCCACAGGTAGTATAGCAAGTGAGTTACTCCGCAATCGGGATTCTCCAGAAAGATGAAAAGACGGTGCAGAACCACCAATAGGGATTATATTTGACGCCAGGTCATTTCCAACTTTTACGAAGTAATGGTTAATTTTGTTAACGGCTATTTGCGGGTCAGAACTCATATTTAGAAGGTCAGTAGGAGGTTTCACATTATTGCCAATATTAGCTACAGTCTTAATAGCGTTCCACGTTTGTTTCATGTTATTTTTCGCTTCCAAAAATAATTTTTTTTCATATGCCCTTTTTACTCTCTTAATTAGATTATTGCAAAAGTTGCGGTAACGTTTGTATGATATCTCTAGAATGATATTTTCAGGATCTTTTCTTAATTTGAAATGTAATTTATCACGATGTCGAAGACAACGTAATAGACCTGTAGTCATCCAAGGTTTGATAAGTTTGTGTTTCTTTTTAATTGTAACTACTTTAGAATGTCTATTTATCACTGATTGTAATAAAATTATTAGTTTATTAGTGGCAATATTAGGATCATTTTCTTTCAAAATTTGGGAGAGGTCAGTGCTATCAACTTCATTCACAGATGAAACGAAGTAAGTAAAAAAACTTATGTCTGAGACTATTTCAGTTATTGTTTTCTTTAGTGCAGAGTAATATATAATACAGATTTATTATATCAATATAATAAGAAACCATAACTTCGTGAGCTAGAGAAGGGTTCTCGAATTTTCAATTTGTATTGCAGATAAAATATTACGTAGTGAATATACCTAATTATTAACTAGGTAATGATAAACTTGGACATGCAATTTCAAATACTTTGGTTACCTTCTTTAAAGGTACCTGTCCAAAATATAATATTTTAAGTGCTTTTTAACATAATTTTAAAATAAATCTTCAATATTATTCCAGTTAGTGAATTAATGAAAAATATAATATTATATCGACATAAATACGTAATGAACATGTGTAATTATTAGGATTCTATAATAGAATTATAGATAACAGATTGCCGCTCTGACCACGTAACTTAATAAATAGTACGAGCAAGTGATGGGTAACCCTGCCACTTCACGCACACATTTGCCGTGTGTCTTGCTGTACGTAATAGTAGTCGTAAGTAAATAATTTTTGACTGTTGTATGGAGTGTCCGGGGTGTGCTTTCGTTGTTTGTCGATTCCTTTTGTTCACATAGTGGCATAGTGAATATTTAAAACTATTTGGGTTCCTATATGTAGAATCTATAATATATTAACATCAACGTTAGATTTTAAAATGGAACCTAAACTAGTCTAAAAAAGAAAACAGTTACAGGTTGTTAGTAATTAGGGCGAGTAATGGGGCTCAAAATGTTTATTATTCGACGTCACACTTTAGTTACCGTCATACAAATAACACATTAAGAACCGATTTGCGTTAAGGAGACAAATCATCTGCTCTCTTCAATTACAATTATTTCTCTCGTGAGTTTGGGTGTAATTTGTGGTTGTCTATGTGTGTGTCCATGGCACCCGCGACACAGGGTTTCCCTAGTGCGGGGCTATGTTGAGTGTGTGCGTAAATTATCAAATCGTGCAATATACATTATCATTTATCATTATTTACTTTATCCTCTAGGCTTGTTAGCTGGTTTGAACCACATTTACGGACCTAAGTCAATTCAATGCAATACGGCGTGTATCTACGAGTATGTGGTGGGTGTGTAATAAGGTCCTACTTCGTCCTCTTCCATCCGCATAAACTTTCTGAACTTATTATTATTGTATAGGGTCCGTCAATTTTACGTTATGTACTCGATGATTTTACATAAACAAAAAGTAAAGAAAAAATGGTTAAGTAATAAAATAGAAAGATTTACCATTTTACATCATTTTACTTTAATTATGTTCTGAAGAGTTTTCGAACAGTTAAATCTTCTTATATCTAAATAAAGTGGACCTACAATGACAAAAAACAATATTTTATAAAATACTTAATAATTGTGTATATGTCGTTGGATAATAATCAATTAAAGGCGTGAAAAAGACCATCTCTTCCTTCTAGACCATTTAATAATATACCATGAGTAAGATGTAATCTACAACAAAGATATAAAAGAATCCATAACCAAAATACATTCTTCAATGGAAGAACGATATAATTATATAGTATAGTACAGAAATTTAATAATAATCATTTTTGTCAAGACATGTCTCGACTTACGTCTATGAACGTATTTATTTTCGTGCTAAATATATGTATATCATAACCTAATTTACGCCCAAGCGTACTATGTCAACCAGTCTTTAGACAGAACGCGTTTAGAAGTCGCTACAGAGCCGTCAGGGCTAACGCCAATAAATTGCGATAAATTAAATATACATCGACTACGTTAACTAACTTCAGATATTGTTCAAATTCAAACTTGAAATAACCTTCGTTCATAAAAGTAGATAACGATAATAACAGGTCTTCTAGACGTTTACTTAATGTAGTTTTGTTAATATATACAGAAATGTATAAATAGTTTCCAACACATTTCGTGTAGATTTGCGACCAAAACAGGTGATAAAAATATTAAAATGCCAAGTGAGGTTTTGCGTTTTTATTTTCGCGATCACCGCCCAATCTGTACCACCCTGTAAGTCCATTCGATTGCAGATCCGTAATATATTTCCAATGTAAAGTGACACTAAGGCACGTGACACTTTAATATTCTAGTTTATCCTCTACTAAGTACTTATTGCTACAAGGCCATATCCCGACGAATATCAAAGATTCATTCTTTTTCATCATATCCGTCAATATAACATAGATTATAACACTTGTAAATCACACAGCCGAATCTACCAATGAATGTTGTTTTTGGTATCTATTCACAGAAGTCAATAAATAAATTGGACTAGCTCACTTAACTAGGTACTTAAACTGCGACATTATGTGCATTGAATGTTCGTAATGGCTGTTTACGTATGACGTGTTTGTTTCACCTGTTTATCAGGTTTGGCCTTACGCTAGGTGGCGAGAGACATTAGTCTTCTTCGGCGAAGTTTGCGGCTACAGCGCTTCCAAAGCGCGGTGATAGAGTATATAATAGCGACGATCAACAGAAGTGTGGCAGCTCGTCTGGTGAAACTGGGGGATTGCGGGTCGGCGTCTAGGTGCGCGCGCGATGGAGCCGCGCCAGCGCCCCGCCATGCACGGGGCGCTGCTTCCGTGCCCTCTAACTCCGGAGCACCTAATACAATTTACAAATTTAAGTCAAGAGCTGTATCTTCAGATAAACATACATTCTTATTTGTTTGGCATATAAACAGGACAACACAGTAAATTCTTTATACTCCGTCCAACCATTTATTTAACTTTTGACAGCATGCCCATGAAAGTTCCGTAATTATTGACATACAATCATAGACAAAAATGCAACACTTCCTGAACTCTATTATTTTTTAGTTTTAGTGAAGCGACGTGTTCTTTAGCTCCGATATTTATCGAGCCGACAGTTTATGTAACGAAAATTTTGATACCTGCGAATAAATTAGAATGAAATGAAATAAAATATAATAAATAATAATTATAATAAATTATAATTGTTTATTATAATGAATCCTTGGATTCTTCTCCATATGAACGGGAATCATCACTTGAATCGTCATTAATATTAATTATTAAATGTTGAGTACACAAATTGTCAAACGCAACATCATGATCCCAATCAGACAATACCTTCTTTCTTGAACCCGCTCACATTCACGATTAAATGTTCTTCATAAATAAAATCGATTGTTATAAAAAATTTATTCGGAAACGCATTAGGACATACATTAGAATTCGAATTGTCAATAGTTAAATAACTGGTTGGACGCAGTATAGTGGTATAACGCTATAAAAGAAATTACCAATACTCTTTGGGTCAGTGGGAGGATGTCTGGGTGCTAGAGTGCGTGCGGCGGGAGGAGCGTGGACGGGGCGCGGGGTCAGTGACGAGGGACTGACGCACTCCGGCACGGGCCGCGGCCCGCTGTTGTCCGGCGACAGAACGCGAGAGTACACGTGGAGGCGACCTCCTTCGGCGCGCTGCGGCAAGTCTATCGAAGAATATTACTATTCATATGTTATAAGAGCTTGATTGTAATTAAAAGTTGCAGTTCAAATTTCACTACTTACCTCGCTTTCCCAAAAAGTTTAAAATGTGAGAAGTGAACTCATGTTATTGTGAGCTCAACGAAATCAGCCAGTTATAAATTATTATTTTCCGTTTTTGGCATTGCAGAACTGCTGTCCTTAATATGATTAAAAAATGTAACGTATGGACATAAATAACGAAAGATAAGAAAATACAAATTCTTTTAGGCATTTGTCTAAAAAAGATTTGTCACCTGAAGGGATGATATGCACGTCTCTCAATCGGTGCTCTGGCGGGGTAGCTGCTTCCTTAAGCGAGGACGGCAAGTGTCCCACCAGAGCATATTGCAATGCTGCCAGCAGTAGCCAGTGGCACGGTTTCGCTGCCCCGCCTTCCAGACACGAAGAATCACCGTATACCACTAACCGTCCGGCCTGGCGATCACATTTTAATATTATTACTTTATAATTAGAGAATGGATAAAAAAAACATAGTTTATGCATACATTCACAATTAAGATGTACATGACTAACATGTAACTAAAATCTTAACGATAAACATCCACATCTATCATATATATATAGAATCAGAGGCATTAAAGCGAAACCTTAAATTACCTTGGGTAATTTATCGATGGTATCGTTGGTGTAGTCGCGCGTTTCGCCGTCGGTCTGCAACAGACCAAGGATGGGCACGTCGACTAAATGACCGACAGCCGCGGCGCCGCCACCCTTGTTGCCTTTCTCACCGGACATTATCTATACAGAGTGTTATTTTTAAACGGGACAGAATTGGATAAAAAAAAATTAATCAATTTTATAAATTTTGTATGAAAAATCATTTTATGAAATTTCGGAATTCACCGTACTGTTCCATTAAAAAAACACTATGTACATCGACTGTGAACTGGCAACCGGTACTAACACAATTTTGACAATTTTACAGGATGAAGAAAAAAATTGTTTGCGTCATTTACATAGCATCTGGTTTATTAAATAAAAATACGTAGTGTACATACATACATGTGTAATAAAAATATTTAAAAACTACATATTTTTATTTAATAAACCACATGCTATATAAATGACGCTAACAATTTTTTTCTTAAAATGTAAAGTTGTCAAAATTGAGATAGCACCGTTTGCCAGTTCACAGACGATATACAATAATAACGAACAATTGTACTTTCGCTTGTCATACGCAATGGCTTCATAGGAATGTACAACTAGGATTTTGTTGTTACTTCAACAACAACATTTAAACATGATGGTGATGGTTTTCTTTCCGAAATGATTTTTTGATCCATCGTTTTTCTAATGGGGCTGACATGTTCAATAATTATCAAAACCCCTAAATAAATAAAGATATAAAACTTTTTTCCTAAGAATGATCTTCTAAACAAAAAGACACAATGTTACTAGCGTCCTCATAGTGAAGATTCGAATCTCAGTAACATGATCGACCTTTTAATCAATCTGCGTCATGTTAATCAAATTTCAAGAAAAAAATGCCGTCGCGTGTATTTGAAAATGCACTACCATGTTAAACTAAAGTAAACATACCACGCGTAATTTCGCAAAAATATTTACGTTATTGCTATATTTTATTTATATTGGTTTAAATTTTTAAATAACAGTTGCCAATTGAAGACAGAGATAGTAATTTTTTTCTGTAGCGAGTGCGATAAAGACGCATAAACTCTGGTCATAGATTATAAGTGCAGATACGAACATTGTAGGCGGTAAGTAAAGTAATCGATTTGGTAGATGACTGATTGTATTGTAGTTGGAAAACGTATTTATATTTGTTACGTACGTGTTTATGTTATCTTACACTAAACAATCATTTCTTGCCTTCAAAAAATCATATTGTTTAAAATATTTTGGCGTATTTACAAGGCGAAAACATCAACTAAACTCTTAAATTTTTTTAACGCAGAATTATTTTTGTGTTCAGATTGATGATGAACATACTTTGTGAGGAGTAACATAAGACACACATGTCTTGGATTGAAATTAATTTGTGAAATCTCATTTTCTGAGACGTAACTAAAAAGTTTACGCACTCTACGCATTTCAAAATGTTTTCTAATTTTCTTGTAATCTAACCTGAAATATAGCCCACTACCTGTTTGACATCACTCGCTAAAGTTTCAGTGTGAAGCACTTCAGCAAATACAGGCTGTATATTTGAAAGTGGGACATACTTATAGAGTGCGTTATATTCCTGATTCTGAACCCAAAGGAATAATAAAGTAATGAACTGAAACTTTAAAAAAAATATTGTTTAATTTTTTTTTATCGACTACTACTTGTGAACAACATTAGTTATCGAAATCTATGCACATCACTATTATTGCTCCGACGCAACGGCGAGCTGCGACACGGCGGCGAAAATCAAAGCACAGGTCGGGGGTGGAGGCGCGAGCGCATAGAGACAGTGCACGCGCGACCTTGGTCTAGCGAAGATACGTAAATTATTTGTACTTCCGCTCGCTCGCGCAGAATAGATATTTATTCTAACGTCGAATTGACTGAGATGGTGCGGCTTTACGCAATAAGTGGTGATAGTGTGAAACGAGCTATTGAAATGTTCCCAAATCGGAGTTTTACGTGGAGGAGGTGAACAGTGCCGAAGTGTTGCTTGAGAGGGTTATCTCAGCATTTTATGCTGTGAGACAAAATGTGTTTGTGTTGAATAATTTAAAACAAAATTTACTACGACGTGCTAGACCATGCATTGTGAAAACGGTGGACATTTTGAACACTTGCTCCGTAACACGTAAGTGTAAATAAACTGCCTCTGTGGCCGAACGGTTACCATGCCGGACTGCCACGCAGAGGTCCCAGGTTCGATTCCCGGGCCGGGAGAAATGTTTGTATGGCCTACAATTATTTCTCTCGTGAGTTTGGGTGTAATTTGTGGTTGTCTATATGTGTGTCCATGGCACCCGCGACACAGGGTTTACCTAGTGCGGGGCTATGTTGAGTGTGCGCGTTATTTTAAAAAAAAAAAAAAAAAAAACTAAATAACTAAAAAATCAATCATTATATACAGGGTGTCCCGGGACGCGACGTCAAGCCGGAACGGGGTGATAGGCCAGGTCATATCTGTTATCAGAAAAATAAAAAATAAAATCTATGTCACGTATTTTAAAAATTATGACCATTTTGAAAAAAATCGAAAAATATACACCCTGTGACGCATTTTCACTTCCCGTTTCTACAAATTTCCACTTTATTTTAATTTTTTTATTATTTTGTAACCCTGAGTAATGCTCCTGTAGCTAGTCGTCTAAAATTTTGACACAACTGCTCTAATTTTGAAAAAAAAATGACACATTATTCCCATATCAAAAGAGAAATTGAATTTTCGTTCAATTTCAACTCACTCTACCGAAAAAAAAATGTACTACACTGGTTGGGCAAGTAGCTTTAAAAGTTGGCGCATTTTAAGAGGATTCCAAAATGGTATTACACTTGCTACTTTATTTCTTAGATTATGGTCAAATAATTTTTTTTGTGAACAAAACCGGTTTTCAACTATTTTTTATTTCTTAATTTAAATTTATTTAGTGTACCCAATCCTTCGCTCGGAACGGTAACTATGACATAATTCTTAACGGTAACTATGAGAGAGACGGAGAGAGCTATTCTACGAAGTGTGAGTGAGATAGAGAGTGACGCCGCTAATGTGTGAGATTCATAATTCTAGTATGAGAGAGACGGAGAGAGCTTTTCTACGAAGTGTGAGTGAGATAGAGAGTGACACCGCTAATGTGTGAGATTCATAATTCTAGTATGAGAGAGACGGAGAGAGCTTTTCTACGAAGTGTGAGTGAGATAGAGAGTGACGCCGCTAATGTGTGAGACGGATAGATATTATTCGACTAGTGCGAGCACAATTCACAATAACGACAGTAGGTTACGCTACTTCGTTTACTGCGCACCTTTCCGTATTCGTTCGTCTTGATTTCGTACTAACAACCTTTTGCTTCGTTTATTGGATCCCGATTGCTTTTGATTTGGATTTGGACTGTTTAGTTTCTCTTTTTTACGACCTTTGCTTTCCTCTGGACCACTGTGATTGTGTTGTGACACCATGTCCGTGTACACCGTACAGGAATATGCCAACATGCACCTCATTTATGGGGAATGCAGATGCAATGCTAGTACTGCAGCTAGACTTTATCGTGAGAGGTACCCAAATGCTGCTCGTCATCCCGATCATCGAGTTTTTACGAATGTGCACCGTTTGCTCTCAGAGGGACGATTCCCAAGCGAAGCGCATAGTGAAAGTAGAAGTTTCCATCATTACGAGGACGTCGTAATGGAAGCAGTGGAAGAAAACCCGAGTTCTTCGGTACGTGGAATTGAAGCAACTACAGGAGTGCCAAAAAGTGTAGCACACCGAATTTTACAATACAATAAACTCCACCCGTTCCATGTACAGAGAGTACAGTCATTACTTGAGCGCGATTATTCACCGAGAGTTGCATTTTGCCAAACAATGCTAGAGAGACACCGAGAAGATCCGCAATTCCTACAAATAAATTTATGGTCTGATGAATCAACATTTAAAAAAGATGGTTACATGAACTTACATAACCTACACGAGTGGCATGTAGAAAATCCACATTTGATGAGACAAGACAGGTCACAATACCGCTTTAAAGTGAACATGTGGACAGGGATTTTAAATGGGAAAATCATTGGGCCCTATGAGTTGCCAGAGAACTTGGATAGCGAAATTTATTTAGATTTTCTACAAAATCAATTGCCAAATTTACTGGAAGACGTACCATTAAACATTTACAGAGATATGTGGTACCAGCAAGATGGCTGCCCGGCGCATTATGCCCGCTCAGTTAGAGCATACCTCGATGAGGAATACCCGGGCAGGTGGATAGGACGGTCTGGCACAATCTCGTGGCCAGCCCGTTCTCCAGATTTAAATCCACTCGATTTCTTTTACTGGGGAGCAATGAAAGAAAAAGTTTACCATAAACCAATAGAAGACTTGGCGGAGCTACGTGCGAGAATAGCAGAAGCAGGAGAATTTGTTAATAACGGAAGATTCGCCCGTTTAATATCCCGATCATTTCTCAAAAGATGTCGGGCGTGTATTGCAGCTGAAGGAAAGCATTTTGAACATTTGCTGTCATTTAAATAAAATCATAATTTTACTTAAATAGATTTTTTATTTAATGGAACTATCCTAAGCTCAAAGAAAAAAATAATGATGCCATTAATTTAAATTAGCGGCGTCACTCTCTATCTCACTCACACTTCGTAGAAAAGCTCTCTCCGTCTCTCTCATACTAGAATTATGAATCTCACACATTAGCGGCGTCACTCTCTATCTCACTCACACTTCGTAGAATAGCTCTCTCCGTCTCTCTCATAGTTACCGTTAAGAATTATGTCATAGTTACCGTTCCGAGCGAAGGATTGGGTACACTAAATAAATTTAAATTAAGAAATAAAAAATAGTTGAAAACCGGTTTTGTTCACAAAAAAAATTATTTGACCATAATCTAAGAAATAAAGTAGCAAGTGTAATACCATTTTGGAATCCTCTTAAAATGCGCCAACTTTTAAAGCTACTTGCCCAACCAGTGTAGTACATTTTTTTTTCGGTAGAGTGAGTTGAAATTGAACGAAAATTCAATTTCTCTTTTGATATGGGAATAATGTGTCATTTTTTTTTCAAAATTAGAGCAGTTGTGTCAAAATTTTAGACGACTAGCTACAGGAGCATTACTCAGGGTTACAAAATAATAAAAAAAAATAAAATAAAGTGGAAATTTGTAGAAACGGGAAGTGAAAATGCGGCCCAGGGTGTATATTTTACGATTTTTTTCAAAATGGTCATAATTTTTAAAATACATGACATAGATTTTATTTTTTATTTTTCTGATAACAGTTATGACCTGGCCTATCACCCCGTTCCGGCTTGACGTCGCGTCCCGGGACACCCTGTATAATTTGATTTCACATTTTTAACTACGCCAAAAACCTCAATTCTAATTAATTGATAATTAGTTACTAAGTCATAAACTTATCTTTTTTTAGTAGGTAAAATATTTCGACGATAGTTCAGAAGTAAAAAATAATTAACATAAGCTAAAACGTAATCCTTTCGATAACAGCCTATTTTATAAAAACATAAATATGCGTAGGTGAGTAACTTAGTTTTTATTTTCTAGAGAAAAGATGTGCTTTTAGTAGGAAGGGAGATGTGAAATCATTGTTATTGCTACTGTCTCACTCGGCCCTCGCTTGGTAATATTCCCATTGCACTCTAAATCAACCGTAAAGGGAAAAAATTTATTCCTATGTACACTCCAAAACAAATTTGTTGATTTATTTTTTGTTCTATCCCAAATTCTAATTTTATTTTAGGCTATATTCAGTTGTAACATGATTTACTATGACATGTATGAATATGTCTCACTTTCAAATATACAGCCTGTATATCAACATTATTTACTGATATCTTGTCACTAATTGTTATACAAATAATTTTCAGGTCGATCTTTAGATGCTTCGTCAATTGGTATTTGTATGTTAGAAGCACGAATTAATTTTATTAATGTTAATGTTTAATGGCGAAAGAGCAATTTATTAAATTTAATTTAAATGATAGGGTCGTTGTGGCGACTTTTGGGGGAGGTCTATGTCCAGCAGTGGACATCTTTCGGCTAAAATTATGATCATGTTGATGATAGGGCCACAACAAATAAATTTACTTATTATTAATAGCATTGTTCCAAAGTAGATTATTCTATTTGACTTATAAATATTTTTCACGTTTGTTTGATAACAAAATAAATTTGTTTTCCTTTTCTACTATATTTTACTTGTTACCTTCTTTTCAGAATGTTCATTCTGTTCAACAAAATCATAATCATCTATGGCCTGTCAAATAACGCACGATGTTTAAAACTTTCTTACGTGGTGGAACAGATTTCAAACGTCGATTTCTATGAACGTAACATATCTTGTGTATAAGATCATTGCTGTATAAACTTTTTGCGGTCAATGGCACATTTTTAAGTTCTACTACTTTCTACTACTATGACGGTGAATTAGAGTATGTAGCATTTTATACCTGTATGATATTTTCAATGTACCTGGTGTCCTTGGTCGCTAAGTTTCGCAGTGACAAGTACTCCATGATCGGGGAAACTATGAATGTGTGTCCCACTCGCGTAGTACATTGACTGACCTCCTAGTTTGAACGATCCTTCAAACACTCTGTCACCTAACGCCACCTGTACAAAAATACTTCTTCATACAAGTCAAAACTTCTCTATGTGATGGGTAAGCAAATTACCAATGAAAATGTTATGTCTAAACGGTACTACAACATTTTTTACGTACACATAAAAGATCATTGGTACCACTCTTATTAATCCGATTCTTCTCAAAATAGAGAGTGAAATTTACAGAATTCAATTAAAGACCGAAAATAAAATAACAATGAACACGTCAAAATCTTTCTTGACAACGAAAAGAGCATGGTAATTTTATACATTTATAACTATGATTGATAGTTTATATTTGACAAGCGGTCCTAATGAACCATGTTTATTTGCAATTATTTATTCACCTGATACATGCTGAGGAGGTCGTTTAACGCTGGTACGTTTGCTCCTCCCGTTTCCGGTATCCACCTGGTCAATTATTTTAGTTTTACTATTCAACTAAAATATTTTAAAAGGCGACATCTTTTATTCTAACAAAAATTCATGCACAATGGTGTCTGTTACAATGTTAAGGTTTACAATTTAATTTACCAACCCTGAAGAGTTGCTGTTAAATGGTTGTGCCGATTCTTACGCACAAAAATAAATATCTATGGAACTGCTTTCCTCATTTGTGTCGCTCACTTGATGACATGTTTACAGTATAAGTAAAACGTCGCACTTTAGTTCTAAAATCTGTTTCATGGTGTACATATGATGTTTAGGTCAAAAAGTATTATTCGTTAGTTTTTAATATCTTATATTTGTTCCAAACACTGCGTCGTTTTGCTGAGCTACAGACCTATTTATATCACACCAACATTCTTATATTCTCTCACGTAACGTACGTTGTGTTTATTTATTAATGTTTTATTATTATTATTATTAAATTAGTATGTAACACTTCTATGCGATCATAATCACGTTATAAGAGATGATAAAGTACAAATAATAGAACAATAATAAAAAGTGCTACTAAATTATTTTTACAGGGCATCTACTAAATAGTAGTAATTAAGAATATTATCGTTCGAGATAGCTCGATACTTGTTGTAGCGGAATCCGTTAGGTTACTGGTAATATAAACTGTGATTTAAGATTATTTTTTTGCAAAGTTCAGATAGCACAGGATAACCGGTCGTAACGGATACTTGAATAAATCTTTATAAATGTTAGTGCTGCGTTGGATATGAAAGAAATGTTTTGCTGGTTGGTATACTAGTCATACAAGCGCACAAATGTATTCTTACCATTGCCTAGTGTTTTCGTCATAAAACTTGACATGCCGCAGCAAGGTCGCATTGTACCAGTCGGCGAAAACGACGAGAGACATGCCGGCGTCTACGGCTTTTTTCAGCGCCGCCATCTCTTCTGGGAAGTACTCGTCTTCGGGGTCCACCAATAGCAAAGCGCCGTACAACGACGTATCGATGCAGGTCAAAGGAGTACCTGATAGGAAGAATATAAACTCGTTCATCGCTCATGAGGTAACATATGAAATATTAGTCACACCATTTCCTATTTGTGTATTATTTCTTGATTTGTATTAATTGAATAATAGTAGTTTATGTGACTGTTACATAATGAAAAGCTTTAAAATACCAGAGAGGGTTTATGAAACGAGCCGTCAGGCGAGATTCATAAAAACATCTCACGAATGTTTTAATGCCTAATAAAGAACAGTTACATACACTGCAATATCTACACACATACTATAAGCTCTCTGTCATGTGTTCAGGAACCGCATGTTACGACTGGCGAAATGGCGGCAAATAAAAACTTTTCTCACGCATGTCACACAACTGTAATTTATATTTTTAATTCATAGATAAACTAGAATCGGCCCCAACTATCATATCGTTCGATATCAAGTAACGTGTGAAATTGTCCAAATTGTTTGCTATTGACATTTCATTTCGAATAAAACTTCATCTCGACTGATATTAGAATTGAGGTCCAATCAAATTGTTTTGTTTTTCAGAGATGGTCGAAATTTCATTGTAATAATAACATCGAATTCGATGTTATGAAGCAGTATGGAAGCAATAATAACATTTTCACAAATATGAAATATGTTCTAACAAAACAGTTTACCTTTATGCTGGTCGTAATTTGCGGTTTTTGAAAACATTGCAGAGACTTTATGATATGTGTGTAGATAAAGAATTTTAAACAATCCTTCTTTTCTTTAAGAAGATATTCAGCACACAAAAGTATTGAACAGAACTGGGACATGTTATTAAGCAAAGAAAGATGGCGAAAGCTACCCAAAATCATCGAAGTGCCGTTCATGGACTTTGCTAGCATAATTTCACGTTTTAGTTTATGCCTAGTTATTAATATATTTTTGTATATTTTTAGAAGTCAGGAATAAAGAAATTGCAAAACAATGTATTTTAGAATAGATGCAAGAACACAACGCAATTGATTCAGTTCGACCATGGATTAGTTAACGTTCTTGTACAGTCATATACACATAACCCCCAAGCCGACTTTTTGTTTGTCGACTTTTTGGTTCTGAGCACAAAAATGTGGTGAAAATTGTTAAACAAACTTAATCTTTAACCTGTGAGCCGTAAAATTTATTTTAGTATGACTTCCTGGTCATTAGTGAATGACATTGTAAGAAACTTTTTAAGCCAATTTGATCTTTAACGTATGGTTCTTACTTAAACACATAACACGAATTTCAACCTGCTTTAGTAAGCCCATCGTGGCATAGCGGTATAAGGATTGCTTTGCAAGTTAAGGCAAGCATAGTTCGAGTCACATTAAAAATAAAATATTATTTAGCTTTGGCTATACAATATTGTTTTTTTTTTGTTTTTAACCTTTGGATAGGGTGTAAGGAATGTCTAAGTCTTGTGCATACAGAACAATAATTTCTAATTTTAATAATTCCGTTAAGCGCGGCCTATTAAAACAAGAAATAAAACTTTGAAAGTCACTAAAACCTTGAAAGTAATTAAAACTGAAAAGATAAATGGGAACGAAATGTAGAACAATGCGTAATCACAGAAGACACGATCGTATGCAAACTGCAGAGCCATTTCGTGATTTGTTAATCTATCCATACCCACTCTACGCTTTGTTAACAATATATACCCACCCACCTGAGGCAATTTCTAGTGAGCAAATATTGTGATTAGTCAACGTTAACATTACAAAGTGAAACAATGCTGTTAAAAATATAACGTTAAAACAAAATAGTGCTCGTGGAATCGAACAACGGGTATTGTCACTGGCAGTCGATATAACAAGCCGCTCGACCAATTTACTTGGATGATAAATGACGAAATTTAGTATCGGTGTTAAAAATATGTTGATCATCTTCAAGCAACACTCCACTGTATTGCTTTTGCAATAAAGTTGAAATCGTTTTAATTTTTTGATTTTTCAATACGTAAGATGGCTCTCAGAACCAAAAGGTCGGTTTGGGCATGTTAATGGGTCAGGTATCTCACGTATATGACTGTACATAACGTACGTAAGCTATAATACCTAATCAAATAATCAATTAAACAATAATGACATAAAGTAAAAAATAAAACGTGACAAAAATGTTTAGACAATACTTAAATATTTAAACGAAAGTTAGCAAACATTGACTTACAATTATATGGACGTCGGGTCCGCGTTAAAAAGTGTCCGAACTTGTAAGGCGCTAAAATCGTATACAGAGCGCCAAACTCCGCTTTAGTCTTCATTTGTTCGACTGACAGCGCGATACTGCGATGAGATTACAATTTAAATTTCGAATAGGTTGACTTGGGACATTTTTTTCGTGGTTTTTGTGTTAGACCCGTCGTCCATTTATTTGTAAGTCAATGTTAGCAAAGGAACGTTTTTGACAAGAGGCCTCTTGCTAATGTCAGTATCACTTTGAGATTGAGAACAGTGTGACCATATGTGGCAGATCTGCCATTTGGGTAAATTTAATTTTTATTCACTTTCACTGTGACAAAACATGTTAACGTTGTATTAAATGTGGCAGAATTTGGCAGATTTAAGAAGAACTTGCTGTTCTTTATTATTTTTAGGAACAAACTGAAAACTTGTTGTTTTCTGTTACTACCAAAAAACATCTGAAGCGAAATACAGGACAATGTTATAAACATAACCTATATCAAGTTTATCACCCCAGCTTCTACAGGCTGTACTCAATTTGCGTTTTTTACGCTTTGATAATGAATCACAAGTATTGATAAGTCACTTTAATGCACATCGTCAAAAACACTGGGTCACAAAATACACGGGATGTCGCCATCCTTCTTATTAGTTGAACATAAACATTCTAAAAATAAATATATTCTGAGGCAGCAATACCAGTGTTTATTTTGCTAAATGAAGGCAGATTTAAAAAGTTTATAATACCTCGCGGCCGTGTCGCGCCATCTGGCGAGCTAGTCACTCTCAAAAATTTTATTTCGTTACTCTGTTATTCATTGTATTAACAAGGTAGCTTGACACTAAGTAAAGGCTACCAATTAGATTTCATGCCACGCCATGTCACACACTTTGAAATAGCTAATTTCTTTCAACAAAACCCATACAGTGATATCAGAAGCCAATACCAGCGCCTTTATTCAATGATCAATCAAAAAGAAACAGCGTGTAATCTTTGCACATTGTGAAAAACAATGATAATTTAAAAAATACCCATGACTTCGAGATAGAATCCATCATCACGGAGGCGGCGATACATATCTCGAAAATTGGTGTGAACGTGGTCAGCGTGCCAGTCGAGTGGGTCGTGCTTGGCCCTTAGGTCGTCGCGAGGAAAGTACCCGCCCGGGTACCTCAGGCTGTGGAACTGGTCCCACAGCAAGCGCCGTGAACGAATGGGTACTGGGATTACTTTGGCCCTGTATTATTAACAAGCAAAGATACACTTTTATTTCTAATTTCGCGTTTCTGATCCGATGATGCTAGTCACAGCTACAGCTAGTCGCACCGACTTGTACAAATTCGCTTACAGCATCATACAACAGTCCTGTCGTATTATTGCGTGTCAACATAATTATGTGTGAGATCCTGTGAGCTATAATATGTGTGTACGTACAATAGGAACCGCTAATCAGACTTGAGGGATAGCTGTAGCACCGAATTGAATAAAAACAGAAAGGTGTAAACATGTGAAGCTGAACCTACTGTCGGAGATAGTGATACACCTAGATTTCACTGCGGAACAGTTGTTTGCTGAAAGTATCAAAGTGCCACTTAAACAAGACCAATATTGCTGCCCACCATAGGACGATGAAGGATTAGTTAGCACTAAAACCACCCACTGTTTCTGTTTTCGCATTTATTAATGGCTCGAAGACTTGAAATGTAAGAGTCATGCAAATAAATCTGTCGCCCAAGTTCAGACTGGAAATCCTTCCAGTGCAATAACTTTACCTCACCCCTCATACCCCGTAACAAGACAGGCAATAGTTATTTTTAATACAAGTGCGGAAAGTTAGTCATTATTCACGAATCTCGAGGCTTTTTGGTCGAGCCAGAGGCGAGGGTGAAAATGACAAATACACACGTGTATCAAACGTCTTTTTTAATACATTTGCGAAAAAACTACATTGATAGTAAAATAAAACAGTATTTTTAAAAAAAAACTCATTTTTTGGCCGACTTTTTTCAATATGGCAACTGTTGCCAATATCCAGCCACATTAAAATTACAATTTTAGTGGCGCGGCGCGCAGCGATCTCGCGTAATACTCAACTCCGGTCATTGTTAATACTCAACCCGCCATCTTTATGGAAATATTTTGGTATTTTTAAATGTAAACCCTTGTTTTATAAAATACCTATGCAATTTAAACAAATAAGATGTTTGTAAGTAAATATAAGTTTTAATGACGAATGACTTACGTCACAAAGCACATAAATATTAAATAAATATACAACCTCTTTAGTTCTATGTTTAAGACTTGAAACAACAGTACATTTAAAAAAATGGAAAAGTAAAAAGCACTAGTGCAAAAAATCCAACTTTTGGCACGATTTATAGTACGAAAACTACCACGTTTTGAGGAACTGTATTAAAAAAATAGTTGTATAACAGTAGGGACCTCTCATGCGCATATTGCAGGGTGTCTATGTACGCTCACCAACAAAAAAGGACGTATTTAAGGCATTTGCGTATTTTACATACAGCGATAACATACAAATTCACCTTGAACGTTAGACGGTGGTCGACACTCTTAAAGGAAAGAAGATCATAGGGGTACATTTGAATGCCTAGGTCACCGAAGTAGAATTCCAAACCAAGGCAATACACTGAAAGCGGACCAGACATCAAGCAACGCCAAGAATAGCTTGAGACTATTGTTCTGGCCCAAGAGTTGCAACAATTCATAGCCCAAAGACAGCAGACTCTTTGCGACAGTGAACCGAATAAGCACTCTAATGATGGTGCACAGAAAAATAGAATCGAATGCTATCATCGGTAGCATGATGATGTTTCGAAATAGTGAGTCGGTTAACATTATTAGAATCGTTCACTTTCGATTATCTGTGCGAAGTGTACTAAAATGGTAGTGAGCACGGTAAGCAGACAATTAGGTTGTAAAGGGTGGGTAAGGCTGCTAACAGATTGACTGCATGTTTGCAGTTAATGCGTGAAGTCGTAATAAACTTCATGCAGCCGAGACCACGACTACATGAAGTTGACAACGACGTCATGCATTAAATGTATGCAACCGCTGTGTTAGCAGCCTAAAGGTGAACGACGTTACGAGTTGGAGCGACTTGGGCGTGAAATCTACCTATCGCATAAGAGCGGGCAGTCAACTCAATGAGTTTACTGAGGAGTGTACCAGAAGACGATTCCATATAAATTAATAATAGATACTGCCGCGCGCCGCAGAAGAATTGCAATTTTTGTATTTAAGATCGATCGCACATTCAGGAAACTTCGATCTTTGGTGACCAGTGTGCTGTCTAGAAATATGGCGGTGTGTCCAAGAGAGGACTTTCCCGAGTTTTACTAACCAGATTATCCTACAGAGAGACACAAGCTTATCGCCATGTCACACTGCAGCCGATCTTTATTACTAATGCAATATAATATGTAAACACTTAACTCACCTAATAGGTAACATAAGTGTTGCATTTCTCATTGCCTTTTCACCGGTTTCATCGTGGCTCTCAATCGTTACGTTCAAATGACCCTGCGTTAAACACAACATTAAAGTAGTTGTACTTCCATACAAAAATTATTGCTTATACACAGTTTAACGACAAATGTTAACTAATTATTCCATTCGCTTATATAGTCACATACCAAGTTAGAGCGACTAAGTAAACTAAAGTAACTTGACACTCTGAGGGATTACCTCAACGATGCCTTCGAAATCGGCACCCTCCTCTAGTACCCTGAAGCTGAGAGCGAGCCACCCGGACCATGGCCACAGTATAGGGCTGTACTCCGCAGACACCGCCAGCAATGGCCCTTGTGGCAGGTGGGGATGCCAACTCACTTGTTTCTGTTCTCATAACAATTTACTTAACGAATTATAAATTCCATTATATAATGTGGTCCTTATACATATAATGGAACATTATAAAAATATTTTATCAATTAAAAACATCAATCATATATCACGAAACATTTAATTGAACTGAAAATGTAATAATTATTAAATACAAAGATCGAACACAAAGAAAACATCCTTCGACTCGACAGGAGTCCGTCCCTGCGACCACGGGATGCCGTCGTCATTACTTTACGAACTAAGCTAGGGGTCTTACTTACTTAAATTGGTCGACTTAATAACTGGACCAATTTTTTTTTATCTGCTATAGATATTTGCATTGAATTTTCGGTTTTCGGCACAAAGTCTGAGTGAGAAGGTTCATAAAATCTCTCACAGATGTCGCTACGGTAAAATACAAAATAAACACAAATTAAATAATACTGCAAAATCCAATTTTGGATATAAATGGGTTAAGACAAGACAATCAATATATCACGCACTCTCATACATACAAACATATATACTTAAACAACTTTACATGCGCACTTATCTACACAAACACACATACACATTATACATACACGAATGTTTTATACAAGTATTCTGTGATGCTTCTTCATAACAAAGTTTAAAATTAATGTTAGTATTATGAGATGTTAATACAATACAATATACACATAGTATTATATTAACATCTCTGTCAAATTTGGTGTAAACTTAATAGCGATAGGTTCGAGTTGGTGAGCCTGAAAGCCTAAGAGACAGGTTACTTGATCTAGTTTAAATCTCGTACAGATTTTGACCTTTGGTAATTAAAACTTGTTTGTAACAAGTATTTTGTAGCCAAAATTTGTGGAAAAATACATTTTTAATTATTATTGTAAAAACGTATGACGCGTCAAGCGTGCTGAGTATAATATATGCATATTTTTGAAAATTTTCCTCACAACTTGTCCGGAGACGCCGAGGCCGTTGGTGACGGTGACGTTGGCGATGATGGGCTGCGCGCTGTAGTACAACGGCTGGGTGCAGTACGGCCACATATATTGACACTCCGTCAGGTCGATGTACGCGGGGCTTAAGCTCGCTTGGGGCTCGTACTCGCGTAGAAACTGTCACAATTATTAATTGTTAAGTACAACACACAACGCAAAATCCAGTTTAAAAAAACAAGTAGCTTCAATTTTATTTTTTTGTAAATAATAATACAAATGAGCCAGACCATCACACCAAGGCCAAGTACCTCAAATGTGGAAATTTCTCATACAAAGAACGATAGCGAGCACCCAAACCAGAATCAATTTACAAAAGTTCGATTCCTAAATTGGTCTTACCGAGAATCGAACCCACTGAAGTTATGTTGCTTTTTTGGGTTTTCATAAGACTTATAGCATCGAGTATATAACTAGAAATAGAGACGAAATGTCATTTAATTTGTTTGAAAACTATTCTGCCAAATCATTGCGGTGACAACTGCGTTCCGATTGGCCAGCCCGAATTCGAAACAATTGACGGGTGTCGTCAATTCTTTCACTTCAAATCGACCAGTTTAACTTGAGCTTTGCTATAATGGACGAAAATTTAAAAATTACATATTTAATTACCAATGAAATGTGATTCCGTTTGTTTTGTAATTAGATATTTTGCTGTTTTTCCCACACCACAGAATGGAACAGACCCACCCGTAGTTAGAGATATTATCTTTATTATAATAAATACAGAACATTTTTGGAGTATACGGAGACGTACATACAGGTCTACTATTTCAGCTTTCTAATTTGTGATTTCAGCGCATACGAGATTTGATATTTAAAAGTGATATAAGGCCCATTTGCCTAATGAGTTCCACGGGTGGATGGCCCTCATTTCGTCTGTTTGTGGTTATATACTCGATGACTTATAGTAACAAGTATACAAGCATTACCTGATAAGCACTAATAAGGTCCAATTTGCCATGTCCTTGTTCGAACATGTTAGGTCCTTGCAGGCGGCGTGCGGTGATCGTGAGCGCTTGCTTGACCGCAGCGGGCGTCAGGCTGTGCCGCGGCACTCCGCTGGCAAGCAGAGCTATGGCGCCCGCCACAACAGGCGACGCCACTGATGTTCCTTTAAAAAACAAATTATTATTTCATTTTTATTATTATACATAATATATATAGGCTATATAGTAACATAACATAATATATATAGGCGGTTTAGAAACCCTTCTAAACCGGAATACCCTTACCCTTGTGCTTGTAAAATTACAGGCACATGGGACTTGGTAACTTATGTCTCCAGGTGACGGTCGCAGTGGCAGTGCTCATAAGATAGTTTGTGATTTAAAGGTCTGATTGGCACTGCAACTGTTAAGGATAGGCGTGTCGCTTACCGCCAGGTACACGACTTGATCGCCCCGTCACTCGGTATTATCAAAAAAAGTAAATGCTTACCGCTCAAGGACCTGCACCCGCCGTTGACGTTAGAGCCTCGCACGCCACTACCGTAAGTCACGATGTCCGGCTTCATGCGCCCGTAACCCTACAAGGGAATCGTAGTATAAAATAATAGATAAAATGGTGCTGTTTCCTCATTTCCTCAGTAACCACTGCGTGTCTATAGGATGCATTCACAACTTAAGAACGGCAATAGACTCTTATTAAAGCGGAAATCTATATCAATACATGGAAACACATGTGAAGATATGAGTTAGTCCTGTAGGTACGGAGCCGTTAATAACACGACATGTACAACAGCTTTTAATGTGCCACACTTACATGCGGAAGTTCCCAAGTGGTCATGCCTCGGGAAGAGAACTTGGCAATGCGGTCATCGAAACCTATGCCGCCAACACCTATCACGTCCATCTGATCGGCAGGGTTGTTCAACGTCCCATAAAGCGGCCCATCATTGCCGATCGCCGATACCATTATCACCTGAAACGATAGCGAAAGACTTTATTATGTATCTGTAACTGTGTGACGTTATGCTATATTATACAATAAGTTTGCAACAACACGGACTAACCGTCAAATTTACAAACACATTATGGTAAAACTAAGAATTCTTGTTCTTTGTGGCTGTTCCAGTACTAATTACTCAATCAATATCGTTTTATATGTTGTCGGCTGTAGGTGACAGACATACATGAACTTAAATAAACTAAAAGCATGTTTTATCGTTTGAACCGATGTTGTAGTAACTTTTTTTGTCAATCGAAACTTATGTTTCAAATGAGTGAAATATTCTTTACTGCACCTTAAAAATTACAACGACTAAACAGAGAAGTAATGTAAGATCACAGAGTAAGCTAATGTACAACAGGCGACCTTGTTGCTAAGGAGCAACTTCTGCTATGCAACCTTAGGATAGAAATTTAAGAGCTGGAAAGCGGGGTGCAACCAAATCGCTTCTAAAGGAAGTATTTTAAATAAAGACACTAATCATAAAATAAATAACATTAAAAACAAATATAACTAATAATGTTATTAGAATTTGTTTACTGCGTTCTACGTTATGTTTAAAGATTCCCGAAAAATAAGTAAATGATACTATATAAGCATGCCAACGTCGAGTAACTAAATAGCCGAAATGTAGCCCAATTACAACATAAATGCATTTTTGATACAAAATAACAAAAATTTATTATTATTTTTTATTTATTATTGAACCTATTATTTAAACAAAAGGCATAATTTATACTGAAATATGCCACTAATAAATCTTACCTTATTTGCACTAAGCTCCCACACTTTATCCACAAAGGGATGATCCATGAAATCAGGGCCGCCGATACTAAGATTGAGCACATCTATCTTACGCATAATTGCATAATTAAAAGCGTCTAGAAACCATGATGTATATGAAACCTGAAAAGAAATATCATACACAAGAAATTTAGGAAAAACTTTCAATAGTTGAGTTTAATATTCGTACTATCTACATTTTCATTTAGGATACTGTTATACATTTGTTTTTAGAATTTTTCTATTTGTCTTTTTCAATCAATTTGCAATTGAATATCAACAGATAAATCTTGTTGAAATTATTCCGTGTGGAACGCGACATAACTATTACGTGAACTGTCACTCCTCTCACACCGTGCAGCTATAATCTGTCTTTTTTGAAATCGAAGTAAAATGACAGTTCATTGCGCAAAAGTGTTGACGGCATGCGAGCAGCTAGTAATTACAGTCGATAAATATTATATCAACTATCGACTGAACATTAGTTACGCTTATGAAATAAACAGGCGAAATTGTTTCATTTGATTCACCCGATGGTGAATCAAATGTCCACACCATACGTCTAACCGTTGGGCCTGTGCCCAACAGTTAGACCAATTCCAATGAAGCTGTCTTCATTTGAATTGTTGATTTTTGAAAATTCATTCATAGGTACATACACTAAAGTATATGTCTTAAAAATACAAATAGAAGATATATTTTAATTTTTCATTTTAATTTAATATACATAATCAAATCCGCATGCCGTTATTAAAATGTGTATGACTGAAAATTGATTTTGATACTTTAGACCAACTGTCAAAATAAGAATAAAGAATACAATAACGCAATTTAGTAATCATTAGAACGTCGCCGTTGTGACATTTATAATTCAGTCATTTGTGTCAAAATTTTACCTATTTTCACAGTCCATCGATAAAACGACAACTAACACATGATTATTTAAAGTTTTACCAAAACTGGCAACCCTGCAAATGTCAATTCATCATCAAAAAAGAAATACTATACCTCAAGAATCGAATTAGTTGAGCGGTACGCCTGTAATTAGCTTAACCTTTTCATGGCCAGTACTTAAATATTAGCTCACACAAATATGTTGCCGTAGTGCTTCTATTCATTCAATATAAAATCTTCAATACGTAATATACATAAGTTATAAACATAAGTAATCATTGAATTTTGTCAGTACGTTGTTGATACTTCTCTATGGAAAAAGCAATAGATGGCAACTAAATAAAAAGCACTTTGATATCGCACTTTAAATCTCGTAATTGGTTGTTTAATTCGCACATTCGCACACACTCAACATAGCCCCGCACTAGGGAAACCCTGTGTCGCGGGTGCCATGGACACACACATAGACAACCACAAATTACACCCAAACTCACGAGAGAAATAATTGTAGGCCATACAACTATATCTCCCGGCCCGGGAATCGAACCTGGGACCTCTGCGTGGCAGTCCTGCATGGTATCCGTTCGGCTACGGAGGCAGTTAAAGACCCGAAACGGGGTACCTCGTACTATCATATTCTAATATATGAACGAGTTAATAATATAAGTATAAAGAAAATAAACATACCTGATTATAAGTGAAAACTCTGAAGATATGCAAATCAGCGTCGGGGGCAAACCCTAAACAGTCGGCTCGTGACGAGATCACGCCGGCGACGAAAGTACCGTGGCCCAACGCGTCGTCGAGAGTATTCTCGCCCGTCCAGTCGGTGCGCTCGCGCACGCGACCGAAGTGAGGGTGATGGCGAGCCAAACCCGTATCAAATACTGCTACTTTTATGCCTTCTCCTATATACACGCAAAAGAAACGGTATAAGGTTTAAAGATTTTATTTCTCACCAAGAATTACTGGAGAACAATAACAATATAAGAAATGGTATTAAAAGCCCAAAAAGTTAACTTCAAAAAAATATATTTCAAAGCTCGCAAAGTTCTGTAGCAACTCAAGATTTAAGAATATTCAAGATTCAAGTGAGAATAAGTGGTTAAAACTATATTATTATGAAGTGGTTATTACAACTACGCTCTTGTATTATCAAATACATTCACATACAATATTGCGTTGAACGCGGCATTATTAATCCAATCTTCACTAACCAGTTACTCCAAGAGACCACAGCAAATCGGCCTTTAACACTGATGTGATTTGACGAGGTACAGTTCGTAACAATTTTCTCGACGTGTACCCGCCGCCACTAATCTGTGCAATACAAGATTGTAGTAAACACTTACGTTGTAAATAAATAATTCACACAACAGTATTTGGCAACCGTGATAAGGCTAGTGGTGTCGGTTAATAATTATGGTAATATGAAGTTTGTCGACTATCACGATATTTTACTACCATGATTATTCAATTATTTTTTTGTGAAATTACTCCACGTTATACTTATAAATCCAAAGATCGAACACAGAAAAATCCATTCGGTCCGGCTGGAACCATAGATTTAGAAAAAAAGGGGAGATTTGGCATAGGGGCGTGGTTCGTGTTGCCTCGATGTGATCAAAATGATCATATCGAGGTGACACGCCTACAAACATCGCTACAGTGAAATGGCAATAGTTGTAAAAAATTGAATAAAAAAAAAGATCTCTCGTAAAACGTGAAAATGCCAAGTTGTAGCGATACACCTTGTAAAAATTTGAGTGAAAACAAAAATTACCAGTGAGATAACATTGCACCGGCTATTTGCATTTTTAGTTACTATTTCTATTATTATTCAATGTTTTCTTTGTATCTCCATAGAAATTTCTAGACTCAAATATAGTGATGTTCATTTATGATGACTGATGTTTATTGACAATAAATTTTTACTGAAATGTTTGAATTTCTTACTATGATTTTTGTAGTTAAAGTTCCTAAAATATCGAAGCGAAAAGCATTCACATTAAATTGATTTCCTTTATTTTATTATTATTATTATTAGTAAACATTTTATTTCGAGTAGCTTTAACACAACTCATATTTCGGACAACCGTTTCAATTTCATGTCAATTTGTATGTTACTGTTGCTTGAAGAATAATGTATGTGTATTATTGTTTTAGATACTTAAATTCTTACTGTTAACTTAAGTTGGATTGAAGCTGCAGGAAAATCGATATGCTGGTTTTCTTATTACTATTTCTAACTTTGTTTAAATTTCCATAGCAAATGCATTTAAAATCAAATTAACTAAAATCGGCTTTATCCTTCATAAAAATCAACATAATTTAATTTATTAAATTCGTTGATGGTCCGAGTTTACGCTTGACAATGACAGCTGCATCAACCCGTGATAACGTATAATGGAAAACTGGCACTGACGACAGTCGCCATGTTTTTAATATTATTCTCATAAAACTGGCACTGGCCCAAGCCTAGTGGCCGCCATTAAGAAAATGATAATAATTATATTAATATATTAATGTAATAATACACCAGTACCAGTGTAGGTGTAGTATGAAAAATGGAGTATTTTTTTAATATTAAAAACTGCCACATGGTTTCTAACTATCGATTAGGTAGGACCACATCCCTCGTTGAGTAGCGTTAGTTTAAGGTTAATAAGGTTAACAATTCACGGAGCGGTTTCCATCCGCGCCTGCCGGTGCTGCGGGATAGCGGTATTATTTCAATACTCACGACCCTGCACGTTGGTGCGGACACGTAGCCGCTGCGGTTGCGGACACGAAACCGTTGCGATTTCAGAACGGACCGTGAATTTAGTGGGAGTTAATCGCAAGTCGCGCGGTTAATATGGAACTCATCCCGCGAGCGCCGATTGCACCACATTGCGCCGCCTGCACCACATTGCGCCTGAACAGACCGCCAAAGTGCGCGGGCGACGATGGCTGCCAAGCGCGCAGGTGATCGCGTCCTGTGCGGTTCTACAAGTACCCCGCCACGGTAACCGCGAGTAACCGTCACCACTACAAGCGTAAAACGCGCCGTGAAAAGTGCTACTAATTTTACATACTTAACTATCACATTCTACTGATGCCGCGGTCCCGCGACAGGCGTGGGTGAACACCGCTCCGTGAGTTCTTAGTATAAGGAAAAATTAGTTTCAGCGCCATCTAACGTGTAATAGTTAGCTATTATATACTAGTAGCATTTTTACTAAAACGCCACCTGATGGTGACTGGCTGAACCAGGATGAAAAAATACTTAAATATTGTAATATAACTCTTACTCAAGTAACTGTAAGTTTAATTTTTGTTAAATTTTAAAATTGTGTTACGCCGTTTTCATGTTTTAAGCCCTACCCAATCAAAATCTTTAAGTTATGGTAGTAGATAAGCGTGAGTCTTTAAGTTATGGTAGTAGATAAGCGAGCGTGGAGTTTTGAATTGCACACAAGCTATAAAGTGGCGACATCTGTACCCGATCTTACATAGCGTCATTACATATCTCCCTTTTTTCTATATCTATGGTGCATTCTAGTAAAAGCTTTTACATTAAGTTGTAACCGAAAATATAATTTATATTTCGTTATACTATACGAAGTAGTTATAACCCTGACGACGTTTAATTTTAAATGACATTTGTCTTGATTTTCAGGATGATTGTGGACCAACAGGATGTCTCTATTCTGGTTGGCGTAATCATCGCGCGCGTGAACTGCATTCCCTAAGACGGACCAGAGAGGTATGTCAATTATAAACAGTTGTAGATAATGAATATTTATTTCTAAAATAGTATACATATAGCCACTACAGACAACAAACTGTACATATACAACTTCATTTTTAGAAAAAATAAAATATCGTAAAAATACTTTAGGAATTATTTATTTGTTTTAACTGAAAAATGGGTAGGTAGATAATAATTTAACACAAAACAACAATATATCATGGTGTTTTACTGCAATGATTAGACAGTTTTTTTGTGACAATACTCCACTAGTTTGTTATAATTACTCATACAAAGATCGCAAACAGAGAAAAATTCGTTCGATCTGGCTGGATTCGAACGACCGTCTTCAGCATACCAGGCCGACGCTTACCCAACTAAGCTACGGAAGGAACTAGACCCAACGATTTTTTCTATGTGTTTGTTGCAGATCTTTGTTTTTGGGTTTTGTAACAACTTTTTTGCCGTAGCGCTATCTGTGAGTAATTTCACTCAGGCAGGTACTTTTACAGTGCTGGTTCGTTCTATAGCTCAATTGGGAGCGGCACGGTATGCTGAAGACGCTGGTTCCAATCATAGATGTAGAAAAAAAAGGGGAGATATGTAATGACGCTATGTAAGATCGGGTACCGATGTCGCCACTTTTTAGCATGTGTATAATTCAAGCTTTACGCTCTATTATCTACTACCATAACTTAAAGATTTTGATTGGGTAGGGCTTAAAACGTGAAAACGACGTAAGACAATTTTAAAATTTAACAAAATTAAAGTTACAGTTACTTGAGTAAGAGTTATATTACAATATTTAAGTATTTTTTCATCCTGGTTCAGCCAGTCACCATCAGGTGGCGTTTTAGTAAAAATGCTACTAGTATATAATAGCTAACTATTACACGTTAGATGGCGCTGAAACTAATTTTTCCTTATACTAAGAACTCACGGAGCGGTGTTCACCCACGCCTGTCGCGGGACCGCGGCATCAGTAGAATGTGATAGTTAAGTATGTAAAATTAGTAGCACTTTTCACGGCGCGTTTTACGCTTGTAGTGGTGACGGTTACTCGCGGTTACCGTGGCGGGGTACTTGTAGAACCGCACAGGACGCGATCACCTGCGCGCTTGGCAGCCATCGTCGCCCGCGCACTTTGGCGGTCTGTTCAGGCGCAATGTGGTGCAGGCGGCGCAATGTGGTGCAATCGGCGCTCGCGGGATGAGTTCCATATTAACCGCGCGACTTGCGATTAACTCCCACTAAATTCACGGTCCGTTCTGAAATCGCAACGGTTTCGTGTCCGCAACCGCAGCGGCTACGTGTCCGCACCAACGTGCAGGGTCGTGAGTATTGAAATAATACCGCTATCCCGCAGCACCGGCAGGCGCGGATGGAAACCGCTCCGTGAATTGTTAACCTTATTAACCTTAAACTAACGCTACTCAACGAGGGATGTGGTCCTACCTAATCGATAGTTAGAAACCATGTGGCAGTTTTTAATATTAAAAAAATACTCCATTTTTCATACTACACCTACACTGGTACTGGTGTATTATTACATTAATATATTAATATAATTATTATCATTTTCTTAATGGCGGCCACTAGGCTTGGGCCAGTGCCAGTTTTATGAGAATAATATTAAAAACATGGCGACTGTCGTCAGTGCCAGTTTTCCATTATACGTTATCACGGGTTGATGCAGCTGTCATTGTCAAGCGTAAACTCGGACCATCAACGAATTTAATAAATTAAATTATGTTGATTTTTATGAAGGATAAAGCCGATTTTAGTTAATTTGATTTTAAATGCATTTGCTATGGAAATTTAAACAAAGTTAGAAATAGTAATAAGAAAACCAGCATATCGATTTTCCTGCAGCTTCAATCCAACTTAAGTTAACAGTAAGAATTTAAGTATCTAAAACAATAATACACATACATTATTCTTCAAGCAACAGTAACATACAAATTGACATGAAATTGAAACGGTTGTCCGAAATATGAGTTGTGTTAAAGCTACTCGAAATAAAATGTTTACTAATAATAATAATAATAAAATAAAGGAAATCAATTTAATGTGAATGCTTTTCGCTTCGATATTTTAGGAACTTTAACTACAAAAATCATAGTAAGAAATTCAAACATTTCAGTAAAAATTTATTGTCAATAAACATCAGTCATCATAAATGAACATCACTATATTTGAGTCTAGAAATTTCTATGGAGATACAAAGAAAACATTGAATAATAATAGAAATAGTAACTAAAAATGCAAATAGCCGGTGCAATGTTATCTCACTGGTTTTAAAATTTTTGTTTTCACTCAAATTTTTACAAGGTGTATCGCTACAACTTGGCATTTTCACGTTTTACGAGAGATCATGTACAATGATCGCCATGTCACTGTGGCGATGTTTGTAGGCGATAATATGATCATTTTGATTATATCGAGGTTAATTTATCGAGGCGACACGAACCACGCCCGCATACCAAATGGGGAGATTTGGTATGTTTTTTTTTATATCTATGGAATGCACCCATAGATATAGAAAACTGACGAACGATTGTTATTGTAAGAACCTGGGTGAATAAGGAGAGGTAAATTTACTAATTTACCTCGTTCACATATTTGATAGTCCGCTGGACCTGCTTCTGAACGGTGACGCGTCGGACGGCTGGATGGTCGCGCAAGGCATCCAGCGCGCGTCGACCACCCTCTTCCAAAATAATTACATCAAAGTCACTTGGGTACTCCTTGGCAGGATTGTTACGTTGCACTAATGTGTAGTTTGAAATCTGAAGCAAATATTTCTAAGTCAGCAATTTGTTATAATAAAACAAAACAGATAAATGTGCGAGACAATGATATCAATTACCTCATCTAAGCTAAAAATTATCTTCAGGGACACTATTCAGTGCACCCACATCATTAATTAGGTATTGGCACTGCTGAGGTTCAAGAGTTCTCACTGTGTGTGCTAACCACTATATTGGTGTGCTATAGGTCAGCAAAATTACTACTTTCTTTAGAAATGCAGAAATGTGGCAACCTAGTATATAGTGCCATTACTAATTGCCCAATAAAGTTGAGGGATTATTATCAAGAAATTTTATTGACACCACATTTTGATAGACAACATAGGTTCTGGTATAATAAATTATATACATATTATACACAGGAAATTAAGAAACATGAACTTATGCTTCCATCTTATATAGTCAAGGATAAACCTACACATTCAATCAAGTTGACAAACCCCAGGTCCTTGCAAAGAAAGTTGATTATCTACCCATTGAAATTAAAAAACATCCTAATTTCAACAGGGTCAATGGTTTCTCAGTACCACCAGTTTGGCATCCAGTATTTCCTCAAAGGAAATAATCCCAAACAGACATAAGACTGCAGTCCTGATTAATATGTTTTAATATATTCTAATTTCAATTATTAACTAATAATAAATTTACCTTAATTAAAAATATTATTGTTAAAATAAAATAATTTGTAAAACAGATGTAACGTAAATTGGAATGTTCTTTGTAAAATTAATATTAAGGTATTTAATTAATAACTATTGTAACTATAGTGAAAAAATAGGGTGGTTTGCATTAATATTAGACATAACTGGTTGATGACTTTACCACGTCAGTCAACATAACTATGGGACCTGTAAATGGCTCGAAACGTTGGTTTGTTTGAAAAAACAAATATATGCGATTTAAATCTGGAAAAATAGTTTCATTTCCTATGTGTAACAATTGCAAAAACCTAATAACTTAATAACTAAGTACCAGTTTTCTTTGCTCTTAGAATACCAAGAGTATGCATTTATTCTGTTACTATATGTACAGTATACATCAAACTCTGAGTCAACATCAATAGTACACAGCCATTGACGTAGGTCAATGTACTCAGATAATTTACATTTGAATATAACAAAACTAAATAAACATGTATGACAGATGACACCTAGAAGTCTACAACTGTAGTCTTTGTTTGAAAATTGTATTTCAAAGGTTTCATAAGCGAAATTCCATATTCACTCCTGTATTGTTCACATTGACAGATGAGGTCGGAATGCCTTCTGTATGCATCACTCCTTTAGTAAAGTGATAAAATTTAAATTTAATTTATTAAGCATGTTGTAAAAAACCAAATTGTTGAGTATTGAACTGATCAATGCTTATGCTTCAATTGAAAAGCGTGTTTATATGCTTATTTTAAAAAGCCTACCTCTAATTATGATGCGTGATACCTACTGGAAATTCAGGGTAAAGGGTTGAGCTGAATCAAAGGAGGCACTATAAAAACAGGGAAAAGTCTTGAAAAGGTATAGCTAAAACTTACCCCAGCGTTTTTTAATGCCGCGTTAATGTAGTTTTCCCTTGTTGATCTAGGAAAATAACCTTTGTACATAATAATGTGCTCCGTATTTACTACATCAGTGTTGAACTCGTATTCTATACGAGACGTGTGTGTAGCATTACATCCAGCATTAACATTATTCACATTTTCACCGGCGTAAACCAAACCCCAGGCCAGTAAGCAGAAGAAAATATGTATAAGGATGACCCCCATGTTTTTGACGATAAAACTTCTTGTTGTTACATTATCACGCAGCGTTGACTTTAATTCTCGTCGTTATAGGTAACCCAGTAGGTCCTCAAGAGTGTAGGCCTATTGGCCAATACATAAGAGTATCACACATTGGTCGACATCGCAGTCAGGTTTAATTTTGGTAAACAAGAATATATTCAAGATACGTTTCTAAGTGTTATAGAAATTATTTCTATGTTAACTTTCGCCGTTTCGCAAGTTGATTAGTATTATTATCATAATTTCGTCCTCCAGGACAGGCTAAGGCGTCCAAGTCATACTGCCAGATATTAGATTAAAGAGTTTAATAACAAAATGTCAAACAATTATCGAAAACTTCTTATTTTTCAGAGAAATAAATGTCCCGACTTTATCCTATAATTAACCATCCTCTAAGATTTTTCTACATTTAAAGACAGTTGATACCCGTCGAATGTTGAAGATAGTGAACGAAAAATAAAAAGTTTATTAATATAATTATTAACTTATTAATTAACAGTTTACACAACACGCAATAAAAATTATTTTGGAATAACAAAAAGCAAAAAACGGGAGCCGTCAATGTACAACACAAGAATGTACAGCACAGGAATGTCCGGCCCAGGAATTGGGTGTTGGAGACACAGGTCACGTGGTATTTTTTTTTTTTTTAATTTATTAAGGCTTTGGCAAAGCCATCAGCCTAAACATGAAGTTTAAATTATGTTTCTGTAAATATGGCCGCCACAAAGAGGATAGGCAATTTGAGGCGGCGTGCTTGGATTGACTCGGGGTTCCATAAAACGGGCTGATACGGGTATTGTAGTTTGAGATTCGTATAATTTCGCGTTTTAATCTTCGATTAAGGCACAATAGCACTATCCTATGCCACTTTAAACTAGATTTCACAAAATAATTGAAAGTCAAAATAAAAACGACACTTTTCCCTCCAAAAGGTCCAGAGCGAATCTCACGTGGTATCATCATTTTGATAGGCTTTGTTCACAATGTGATTTTTTTTTTAAATTTATTAAGGCTTTGGCAAAGCCATCATGTAGTTTAATTATGTTTCTATAAATATGGCCTGTAATAATCTCTGTAAATATGGCCGCCACAAAGAGGATAGGCAATTTGAGGCGGCGTGCTTGGATTGACTCGGGATTCCTTAAAACGGGCCGATACGGGTATTTTAGTTCAAGATTCGTATAATTTCGCGTTTTAATCTTCGATTAAGGCACAATAGCACTATCCTATTTCACTTTAAACTAGATTTCACAAAATAATTGAAAGTCAAAATAAAGACGACACTTTTCCCTCCAAAAGGTCCAGAGCGAATCCTCCACAAACTAATAAGAGATACTACGTATCAGACGAACCACTCCCCTTTACGGATAATAGCCAATAAGGAAAGAGCGATTTAGAACATGACAGTTCGTTTTTTAAAAATTACCTATGACATGAAAGCGAAGACACAGTGTTAACAGCCAATTTGCATATTTTTCCGGCTCCTAGGCTTATTCGGTATTAATTAGATGAATAAATTTTGAAAAATGAAACACATTTTGTTATTTGACGTTGTTTATTTTCAATTTTAGTAATAACAAATATATTTATGTGCAGTTCCTCGGGGCATTTGTATATACTTTAACAAATTAGGCTTTAACACTCTTTTTTTTTAATTAATATTTTTTATTAACACACAATAGAACACTTTTTCGTACAATTGACAACCAATAATTTTAGAAATAACTCTCCGGATTACACGCCTTTACAAAGAGATTTCGGTTTCTATTGATTATTCTATTCAAAGTAAAAATCCCGAAGTTGATTCGGCTAATGAAATGACCAAATTACCAAATATATTTAAATAAGCTGATGGCGAAAATGTTATTGAAGGTGTAACTACAATGTACCAAATGTTAAAACTAAAAATCTTTACATGCAAGCAAATCGTAAGTTTACGGGTAGGGTTACGGTAGGGTACTTATTTAGTTCGTAAAATTACACAGAAATTTAACATGAAGACTTTAATATGATCTTACTTAATATGAACATGACCATAATGAATTACAATGAAAGCATACTCCGTAACAGATACCTCTGTAGTGAGCATTTCAACAAAAAATATATCCAAAATGAAAGTGGACAAAGAAAGAGGCTGTCGAAATTTGCAATACCTTTGCACTATAAAGATGATCAATGTAGCAGCGTTAGGTCACATTCACCAGTTCCATCAACATCAAAAGGTAAACTTTTTGGTTTCAGTACCAACACTGTATTACTTGAGTGAACATTCTTATACATACAATTTTTTTGTGAATTTTTTTTTTCTCAAATAATTTGTATTCTACTTTTCTTGAAACTTCAATAATAAATGATGTTACATGGGATGGAAATCATTCCATCATTAGCGCATAACTTGATGGTCATCATCGCATCAGCGCATAACTTGAATTTTAGCAAACCCTTATTCTGCTGTTACTATCAAAAGTAAAATGAACGTATTAATTTGAAATGAACCATTTTTAATATATTGTTTTTTTTAATATAAATATGTAAGTGAGTATTTGACCTCTATCTCACCTGATGGTAGCACACCTAAATAATGCCTATTCACTCTCGCCTTGAAAAGGCACAAGTTATAACGTTCAGGGTACACGTTTCTGGGAAGGGTATTCCACTCCATAGCCATTCGCCATATAAATGTGGAATTGTAACACTTTGTGTCAATCTTTGGAATATCCACAACATATGGGTGGAA